CATGTATATCGCAGTCTCTAATGCGTAATCCCAGAAGGATATAAGTAATTCCGAGTGTACGAGAAGTGATAAGACCATATCCAATAAAGCCCGATTCCTCCTCTTTGACACACCGTTTAACTATGGTGTAGCAAGAGGAGCTAGTTGTGATATTATCCCATTTTCCTTTAAGTAGTCCCTAAATTCGTCAGAGAGATATTCACCTCCTCGATCTGATCGAAGGGCCTTAATGTGTCTCCCTAACTATTTCTTGACATCTTGTGTGAACTCTTTGAACTTTTTAAAGGACTAAGACTTGTGTCTCATTAGGTACACGTAACTATACCGTGAGTGATCATCAGTAAATGTTATGAAATAAATGGGTTGGTTACGTGTCCTAACATTCATGGGACCACATACATCGGTATGTATCAGGTCAAGAGTGCCTGTTAAAGGCTTACTGGTGAATGGTCGTTTCGTCATCTTACCCCAAAGGCAAGGTTCATAGGTTGGAAGATCTTCTACAGTTAGAAAATCCAAAGGACCATCATTTACCAACCTTGTGATATGATCTATGTGAATACGGCCAAGTCAGTAATGCCACAGGCATGTGGGATTAACTGTATCATGAGTTCTTTTCTTGGGGATATTATCCGACGTAGTTTTGGTTATGTTTGTTTCTAGGGAAAGATGAAGAACATAGAGACCATTCTCAAGTTCTCCATATGTGAGGAATTCGTTATTCCTTTTGATAGTAATCACGGTACTAAAAAGAACAGAATAACCATCAACACATAGTTTTGAAACAGAAATCAAATTTCTTCTCAAATTGGGTACATAATGACAATCTTTTAATGTAATAATTCCTTCTATAAAATACAATTCTATAGTTCCTATGGTTGTAGCTGCGATACTTGTAGAAGTCCCCAAGTAAAGAATCACTTCTCTGTCACTCAGTCTTCTGCTTGTCTTGAACCCCCGCAATGTATTGCATGCATGAGTAGAAGCCCCGGAGACAATACACCAAGAAGCAGAAGTGACCAATATATTGGTCTCTATGACAAAGGATTTGAAATTACCTTGTTTCTTGGTCTCCAGGTACTGAGGATAATTCCTCTTCTAGTGGCCGGTCAGCTTGTGAAAGTGATAGGCATCTGATGCCTTGTCCTTCTACTTTTTAAGCTTTCTAGTTTTTTTTTGAGGTTTCTTCTTTGCCTTCCTCTTTTTCTTGCCCGATTTACCACCTTCAACAAGCATGGCTATGGGCCTCATCCTTCTTTATCAGTTCTTCGGCCCTCTACAACATATTGCTAAGTTCCTGAAGGCTAACATTTATCTTGTTCATATTATAGTTCATTATGAACTGATTGAAGGAAGGAGGCAAAGAGTTCAGGATGGCATCAGTTAAGGTGACATGATCTAGCCCAGATCCAAGAGCCTCAAGTTCATTAATGTATCCCATCATCTTAAGACAATGATCATGAACTAGTTGGTTCATGGACATTTGTTCGGTCATAAACTGCTTAAGTACCTTTTGACGAGTAGAACGATTTTACTCTTCATACTTGGTCCTTAAACTATCCAAGATATCATTGGACACTTCAATCTTATCGAACTGTTACTGTATCTGATTGTCTAAGGAGGCTATGACGTAGCACCGGGCAAGAGAGTTTTTCTCCTCCCATTCTTGATATTCCCTCCTGCAGGCCTCAGAAGCCCTATCACCCGATGATCTGGAGTAGGGTTCTTAGCAACTTTGTCTAATTTCTTGAACGTCAGAACCAGCATAAGGTTACGAAACCAGTCAGCGTAATTTGGGCCCTTAAGCTTATTATTGTCCAACAGTTTAGTGAATTGTCCATTTGCCATTTCTAATAAAAGGCAAAGCAAATATTAGTCTACAACCTGATTTGATTCATGTTATCTACATAGATATGGATTTTAATTAATGCTCCATTTCCATTTGTTCATCTCTGAAATTTCCCTCCTATCTCAGAGACAGAGACTGTGAAATATGTCTCTACAAATGTGGGAAACCACATACAGTGCATGGAGCCAACTGTTTCAACTGCATAACCACACCACCTTTTGTGATGGATCACATCCACTCATCTCATGAGCTTTCCCTTTGGCCTCTGTCAAACAAGGTCCATTGCCATTTTAGGTTAAACCTTTCTGTCTAGTAAGTGCTTACTCATCATATTCATGAACGCCAAGGTACCATGAGAGAGTCTTCCATTTTAGGATAAGCCCCTCCCACATTGGTCTATGATACCCCTATCATCTTATGAAACAATCCAACAGATCCAATAGCAAATGGATAACCCAATTTTATGGTGCATCTCTTTATTACTGAAGGGTTCATTTTCATGCTAATGATGGAAGGCCTTTAAAGAGTTCATCATATGAATCTCCCTATCACATGCACTTATATTTCACTTGAGGGAACGAATAATTATGCCCTAGTTTTATTTAGGTAAAACCAATGTGTCTCCCACTGACTTTCTCAAAGCCATATTTAATTGAGCCCTAAACGGCTAGGGTTCCGCACAGTTCCTTTCGGGGAAGAAGTTGATGTAGGGCCCATCAAACAGGGAGGTCATCCAATGATCTTATGGACACCATAGCATTGATGTGCATCAGTCATGGTGTGCGAAAGAGCCACTATCGAATTAACATAGGCCAAGTGCTTATGGCCCATGTACGTAGCACATCACACATCCATACCTCACATGCATGAAACAAATTGATCCAATCAATTAAAATATCTGTAAAACCCTAAATTAATTAGGTTAAAAGGTATCAGCCCATTAGAGCCCATAACATTATCAATTAACATTATCTAGGTAGATGGGTTGTACTGCAAAAAGCAGTTCAGCCCGTATAGATGAATCAGGGCGGATGCAAATTTAACATATTAAAATTGGGTTTTACAGAGGTCGACCGAATTAAAAACTTGAAGTGGACCATCAACCCTCTGGCCAAAATTGAATTTGGGTCAGAAAAAATAACCCCATCAAACCAAGAATTCGGTCCAACCAGTTTGGACCAAATCTGGTACAAATCGGCCCAAGTTTTGGTGTCCAGTTCAAGATTTAATTCAAGAATAATGATCTAAAAAATAAATTAAATCTAGATAATCAAATTACCAAGAAAACAAAATTAGAGGGCTGCACTATGATTTTCTTGGATATCCTGCAAACCTACAAAGAACAATTAATCGCAGATTGCAGAATCGATATCTGCAAAATCGTAGATCGCAGAACTTCATTCTGCGAAATCTTCTTGTCCTCTGTTGCGCACTCCAACAATCTCCAAATGAAAATAAAATAGAAAAACCTAATTTTTCTATTATTACATCACATGGAATTCCTATACAATTTGTCTAAAAAAAAATTATTTACAAACCAAATTGAATAGAAAAGAAATAGCAGGGTGTGCCAATCTTGGCACCAAAAAGATTCGATCTCTATCACATGTGCAGCCCAAGAATTCAAGAAACATTCACAGAACAATTCTATAAATATAACAGAATAATAAAGATTTATTTTCCAGATCATTCGTCCATAATCTGGAAACCAATTCCCAGAAAAACACTAATTGCGCAAATTGGGTACAACGCCTTTTCCCCATTTGTGCAGATCCAGATCTGATCTAATTTGATTCAGGACTTGAACCTAGCTCCAATACCACTGAAGGGATGGGAGATCCAATATATGGATGGCCGAACCCTATAGGAAGGTTGGGCAAAATTTCAAATATTTCTTTACTCCCATCCGGGAATCATATTCCCATTTTAGAAAACTGCATTTTCAAGGTTCGTTTTTGTAACCAAACCGGACCAAATCTGAAACCAAGATTAGGGAGGGATATACCTGATACGAAATCCACGCAAAAAGCTCCTCCCAACGTAGGTGTTCACACCCAAAGAGGGTACAAAATCCTCCCTCCACTGAATATGACACAACTTAGGATGAGGCAGGATTAGCAAGTAGTTCTTCACCAAGAACTTGTGATTCTTCAACAAGAATCGAATGGGGTAATGAGCATAGCTTTAGAATTGTTTCTTCTAGCAAGAAACAATATCAAGATCCAATCTTGATCAGTTCCAAAAATTGGAGATCGAATAGGGTAGGGCGGCAAGAGCAGGGAGAGAAAGAACTGAAGGCAGAAACAGTCAAACTGAATTGTCTTCTGTGTTGTGTGTCTTTTTCAGATCTGCCATGCTCTCTATTTATAGCTTTAAAGAGATGACCTCCTAATCTGATTAGGATTCTCTTGATCCAAATCTTTATTTAGATCTGAACTCTTTAAGTGATAAGGATAAATCTTTATCTTATCTGCAGATTAAGATCAGCCTTTACTAATCAAATTAGGAGTTCCCTGATCCAAATCTCTATTTGGATCTGGACTCTTTAAGAGGATAAGAGTTATCCTCTCATCCTTATCTACTAATCCATACCCAGATTCACCCCTATTTAATTAATCCAATTAACTCAGATCAAAATGGGCTTAGGCCCATTAAGCTTTCATGCTCACTTCCTTTTAATGTTGGCTAGCTTGTCTCTCTTTGTATGGCATGGGACCCTATCATTGATCTACACATMAGCCRMWTRRGWTCAGCCTTTACTAATCAAATTAGGAGTTTCCTGATCCAAATCTCTATTTGGATCTGGACTCTTTAAGAGGATAAGAGTTATCCTCTCATCCTTATCTACTAATCCATACCCAGATTCACCCCTATTTAATTAATCCAATTAACTCAGATCAAAATGGGCTTTAGGCCCATGATAAGCATGGGACCCTATCATTGATCTACACATCAGTCACATGAGTTCAGCCTTGCCTCTCATACAAGGCTTAACCGAATTCACTGCTGAATATAGTAAACCCCTAAGTCCATCACCATGGGCTCTTAAAGGGCCCAACATTTATACTAAATGGTCCTTGGGTCCAGCCATCTTATGAAAGCCCAAGGACTGTAAGAAGATGAAAGATTAGTCCATCAGGTATAACCCTTAATGGTCTTATGTTTAAGGGTTAAGCTTAAGGTTACTGATAGTATCAGGGGATCCTTGGCAGACTCATATGCAGTACTCCCTCAATACTGTACAACCTTGCTTGCAAGCAACCTTGGGTCTGTATTGAAGCTGCATGCCCCACTTGCCTCAAAAGAATACACATATGGGGTTTTCAAGAGAGTCTTCATATGCCTTGTAGGTCCAAGGGATGGGTTCTTGAATGGTTGCAAAAAGATAATTGGGCTGGATGGTTGACACACCAAGATTGGTGCAATAAGGGGTATAATACTCATAGTTGTAGGGATTAATGGCAATAATGGAATTTTTCTATTGCATATTCTGTGGTAGAAGTTGAAAGCAGAGACAATTGGACATGGTTCTTAGTTGAGTTAAGAGATTCTCTAGGTATTGATGACCCACACAGGTCGACATTTATGTCGGATAGGAAGAAGGTATGTATATATTTGTTTGGTTGATTTAATGCATAATTTCCTTTGTTTTGATTACAAATAGCACTAATAAATGTGATACTTGTTTGCAGGGCATTGTTGAAGCAGTATCATGTTGCATGACTAGTGCAAATCATAGGGGCTATTTACGGTATCTATATAGCAACTTCAAAAAGCTATTCAAGGGGAAGGCATTAAAGAATGATGAATGGGCTACTGGGAAATCATATACCCAGTCTGACTTTATTCATTACATGGAAGTAATCATAAGCATAATGCGTAGATTGGGGAGGCCAGAGCAATGTTGATTGTTGAGATGTTGGAAGACGTAAGGAAAAGATGGATGCAGAAGATTTATTATAGACACAAGGCATCCGGTGCACTTAAGTCTGATTTGTTGCCTAAAGTGCAAGCAATCATTGACAAGAGATCAAGGGAAGCTAGGTGATGTTTATTGCCCAAATACTTATTGTGTTTTCTGGCTTGAGTAGTTCATTGTACATGTACTTACTTATTGTATTTGAACAGGTCTGTTAGGATTTTCCAATCAGGGCAATATGTGTTTCAAACACTTGGAGGTGACTTGGTTGAAAATGTCACCAAGATTGATTTAATGTCATGTACATGTAATGTTTGGGATATAAGTGGCCTACCTTGTACTCATGCACTTGCAGTGCTTAGTTTTACAAGAGGTAGGGTGGAGGACCTATGTGACAAGGCCTTTCACAAGGCAACATATGAAAAGGTGTACAGTCATTTTAGTCATGCTCTACTGGGACAGAAATATTGGCAATAAGTGCAACACCACCCAGTTAAACCCCCCATAGTGAGGAGGAGGCCAGATTGACCCCTAACCATGAGAATAAGAGAAGAGGTGAAGGCAAGAGAGATCCATCATATTGATGGCCAAACCCTGTAGGTAGGTTGGGCGAAATTTCAAAAAATTTCTCTCTCCCATCTGGGAATCACATTCCCTGTTTTAGAAAATCTGCATTTTCAATGATCAATCTTGAACCAATAACTAAACCAGATCTAAAACCTAAAGGTAGGAGAGGGATATACTTGATACGAAGAAACAGTATCCTCAAATGAAGGTGTTCACGCCCAAAGAAAATCTCCAAAGACTGCTCCCACTGAAGATGACACAGTGTAGGGTGGAGCAGAATCAACAGTGTTCTTCTCAAAAACTGAACCCTTCAGCAAGGATTCGATGGAGGCTGTGAGCACGACTTCAAATCAGCCTTTCTCCAAATACTGATATCAAGAACTATTCTTGATCGCTCCTACTAAAGTGGAGATTGAACTGGCAGGTGGCGGCAACTGGAGGAGAACGCAGGGAGAAGATGGCGCAGTCACACTGTTGTTGTCTTCTCTCTATGTAATCTGAGATCTGATCTCTGGGATGGAGTGAAGAATGGTTTGCCCCCTCCTCCTTTTATAGACTTAAAGAGATCAGCTCCTAATCCCATTAGGAGTTTCCTAATTCAAATCCTTATTTGAATATGGACTCTCTTTAAGTGATAAGGATAAGTCATTATCTTATCTGCAGATTAGATCAACTCTCTCCTAATCTCATTAGGAGGTTTCTAGATCCAAATCTCTATTTGGATCTAGACTCTCTGAGTGGATAGGATAAGGCCTTATCCTATCTGCTGATCCAAATCCTAGATCCGCCCCTCTTTAATTAGTCTAACTAAACCAGTTCGAAATGGGCTATAGGCCCAATAAGTCTTATGTGCTCAGTAGCCTTTCAAACTGCTGCCCAGTTGGGCTTCTTTGTATGGCGTGGGACCCAAACATTGATCTACACATCAGCCACATGGGTTCAGCCCAGCCTCTGTTACAAGGCCTGGCTGAATACACTGTTATGGACAGTGAACTCCCTAAGCCCATCACATGGAGTCTTAATGGGCTCAACACTTACACTAAGTGGTCCCTAGGCCAAGCCACCTTATAAAAACCCAGGGACAGTGGGCAGATGCAAGATTAGCCCATCAGGTATTACCCTTAATGGTCTTACATTTAACCTCTTAGCCCATAATGATCAAACACTGCACGACAAGAGAGGACCTCTCCCTCGGCTGCAATGAACAGTGTTGCACTCTCTACTCACATGGATCCCGAGATTTAAAACCTTTTTGCAAATATTTTGAAACCATAATATATATATGTACATCCGTATATAAATATATTTTGCAAAACAAATTTCAACGATTGAAATCGGCTGCCGGCAGTCTTGGTTTCCATCAGAGAGAGTGCATCCCCGATCATTACCTTTGTCCGACAAAGGGACTGATCCTATCACTATGATCACCCACTCAGATGAATTCTCAGACTA